ACTAATACGGATATAATAACGCCTTAATAGTAGTCTATAGATTAACGAAGCGGATAGTTTATATACCCTTATTTAAGGATACTACGGCTAGGGATCTAGTAAAGTTATAGTTAATATACTATTATAGGTAGATAGGACTTCCGGACTTAATTATATCGGATAGAGGACTATAGTTTATTATATTATTCTAGAAGACCCTATATAAGTTAATAGAGATTAAGCGGAAGTTATCTACTCCGTATTACCTTTAAACGGATAGGTAGTCGGAAAATATAATCTAGTTACTATCTTAACGACTACGCGCCTTCGTAGATAAGTTCGCTAATAACTAGTCTAGCCTACTACTAATAATAGACTTTGCTTAGGCGATTTTACCTTATAAGTCGACTAGGTTCTTACTATACTACGCCGAACGCGGGTATAAGCTAAGAACGATAGTTAATTAGTAACTTAGTAGTAGCGGACGGGATCTCTATAAGCTAGACCGGAAGGTAGCTCGAGACTAGGTAGATAAAATTCGCTAAGTTTATAAGTTCGTACGGGATAATATAGCTAAAGCGTAGGAATATTAGCGTATCTAGGCGAATCGATATCGTAGGGAGCTAAACTTCGACGTTAGGGACCTTATTATAATTACGATAAAGGATAATCGGTAGATCGTAGAAGGGCCGTTAGGTAAACTCTATCCGAAAGTAGAAGGGCCTTTCCGGATTATCGAGAAGGTAGGGTACGCTTTTCGACTATAACTACTAGAAGGATCGTTACGATATAATATCTTTAACCCAGAGAAGTTACGCTGTACGATAAGTATAGATCTACTTCTAGGATAGCCTATCCCTAAACCGGCGATATAGGTTATACTAGAGCCGGAGTACGATATAAAGATAATCCTTACTTCGCGAATTAACCGGTCGAAGCTTTAGTATCGAGTAAAGTAGATAGGATTCGAGAATAATATAATATAGTATAATACTAGTAATTTCCGGACTACGGCTTCGAAACTCCGGGAATATTATAAAACCTATCCGTCCTGTCCTAGACCTCCGGTAAATCTTAACTATTAGTTAGAGTACGAGGCTCTTAATAAGGAGCTACTAGTACGCCTAGACGATAATATATCGTAACGTTACCGCGCCTAAGGATAGTCGCGAGTCTGAACGGGAGGTAATATAACGTATAGGTAATAAGTTAATAGTTAACTAGCTAGTCGGTTAACTAGTTCGTAAATAGACTTAGAGTATAGGTTAGTTAGCTAGTTAATAGATATAGACTTAGGGAGTTAAGGAGGAGATTATATAATTAATATTTATATTTATAAGATTAGATATTTACCTATATATTATTAATAGAAGCCTTACGTATATACGTGCGCTAGAGCCTAAGGATTATTTGTCTTTCGGTTTACTTCTATAGAGGAACCTTCTATCCGGGACTTTCTATAAGGATTCTACCGCCTTACTATAGCCCCGTCTACGATAGGTATTTAAGGTAGTACTTTACCTTCCTTATTTCTTCCTTTCCTTTTTCCCCTTCGTCTTGGTTTTCTTTATTATATAGGATATAGTTACTTTACCTTCCTTCTTCTATATATAGGTTATCGTAGCTATACTACCTAGGAGTTATAATATATAGTAGGGATTCTATCGACTTAGAATAGTAGCGGACTTAGAGGATCTAACGATATTTATAACTCGATATAGGACCTTTAAGTATAAGGTTATACTATTTAGGTTATATAGTAGACCTATCTTCTTCTAACAGTATATTAACTAGGTACTTAGGGATCTCTTAGATATAGTTACTATCGTATTCGTAGATAATATCCTAATCTTTAGCGAGGACCCCGAGAAGTACGTTAAATACGTTCGGGCCGTAATCTAACGATTATAAGCTATAGGACTTTAGGTAGTAATCTATAAGTACGAGTTCGACCGAACCGAGACTAAGTTCTTAGGTTTTATCGTAGGAGTAGATAAAGTAAGGACTAACCCTAAGAAGATTAAGGCTATTTATAAGTAGTAAACTTCTATAATAGTTAAAGGAGTTTAGTCCTTCCTTAGGTTCTATAACTTCTATCGTTATTTTATTACTACCTATAGTTATATCGCGAAGCTACTCTACTAACTTATAAAAAAGGACTATACGTTTATATAGAGCGAGGACTATATAAATATCTTCTAGTAACTAAAAACTACTCTTTCTTTAGCGCCTATCTTAGTATACTACTATCCGGAGAGAGAGATAAGACTAGAAACGGATACCTCGAAGGATATTATCGCGGGAGTACTATCCTAGAAGTAGGATAGGTTATAGTACCCTATTAGGTTCTTCTCTAAGACTATATTACCTAGGAAGCGGAAGTAGGATATCTATAACCGGGAGATACTAGTAATTATAGAGAGTATAGATAATTAGCGGACTAAGCTATCGGGACTATAATATAAAGAAAGATTCGAGGTCCTAATAGATTACCGGGCGTTAGAGTACTTTATATTATTAAAACTTCTAAACGCTTATTAAGCTCGCTAGGATTTAAAACTTTCCTAGTATTATTTCGTTATCCGCTACCGACTAGGATAATAAAATACTCTTACGGATATATTATCCTACTTCTAGATTAAATAATAAGAGGAACCGGAGAGCTAGATATTACTACTAGAATCCTATTTAGACCCCTAGATCGTAAACGAGCGTAAGACTATTCGAATTAACCGACTCTATATTAGTAGCGACTTAATTAAATAATTACTCTTAGTAAACCGGGATAACCTAGAGCTAGAAGTATAGCGTTAGGAAGCCGAATAGGAGAATTCCTTAAGTAGATTCGACTTACGAGAAGGGGTACTAATCCGTGATAAGAAGCTTATAGTCCTAGTATATAGGTAGATACGAATCCGGTTAATCTCCGAAGCCTATAATTAACTATCTTTAGCCTACCTAAGCGCTAAGAAGCTTTAGAAGTTCCTAGTAAGCCGTTTTTAGTAGGAGACTCTTCGCTAGGATATTATTCGGTTTTCGGATAACTATATAATATATAAGTATACTAAAATCTAGCGAATAAAGACTCTAGGACTCCTAAACCTATTACCGATACCGGATAGACCTTAGTAGTATATCTCTATAGACTTTATATATCTACTAAAAGACCGATACGGATATAATAACGCCTTAATAGTAGTCTATAGATTAACGAAGCGGATAGTTTATGTATCCTTATTTAAGGATACTATAGCTAGGGATCTAGTAAAGTTATAGTTAATATACTATTATAGATAGATAGGACTTCCGGACTTAATTATATCGGATAGAGGACTATAGTTTATTATATTATTCTAGAAAACCCTATATAAGTTAATAGGGATTAAGCGGAAGTTATCTACTTCCTATTACCCTTAAACGGATAGATAGTCGGAAAATACGATCTAGTTACTATCTTAACGACTACGCGCCTTTATAGATAAGTTCGCCGATAACTAGTCTAGCCTACTACTAATAATAGACTTTACTTAGGCGATTTTGTCTTATAAGTCGACTAGGGTCTTACTATACTACGCCGAACGCGGGTATAAGCTAAGAATGATAGTTAATTAGTAACTTAGTAGTAGCGGACGGGATCTCTATAGACTAGACCGGGAGATAGCTCGAGACTAGATAGATAAAATTCGCTAAGTTTATAAGTTCGTACGGGATAATATAGCTAAAGCGTAGGAATATTAGTATACCTAGGCGAATCGATATCGTAGGGAGCTAAACTTCGACGTTAGGGACCTTATTATAATTACGATAAAGGATAATCGGTAGATCGTAGAAGGGCTATTAGGTAAACTCTATCCGAAAGCGGAGGGGTCTTTCCGGATTATCGAGAAGGTAGGATACGCTTTTCGACTATAACTACTAGAAGGGTCGTTACGATATAATATCTTTAACCTAGAGAAGTTATACTATACGATAAGTACAGATCTACTTCTAGGATAGCCTATCCCTAAACCGGCGATATAGGTTATACTAGAGCCGGAGTACGATATAGAGATAATCCTTACTTCGCGAATTAACCGGTCGAAGCTTTAGTATCGAGTAAAGTAGGTAGGATTCGAGAATAATATAATATAGTATAATACTAGTAATTTCCGGACTACGGCTTCGAAACTCCGGGAATATTATAAAATCTACCTATCCCGCCCTAGACCTCCGGTAAATCTTGACTATTAGTTAGAGTATAAGGCTCTTAATAAGAAGCTACTAGTACGCCTAGACGATAATATACTATAACGTTACCGCGCCTAAGGGTAGTCGCGAGTCTAAACGGGGGGTGATATAACGTATAGGTAATAAGTTAATAGTTAACTAGCTAGTCGGTAGACTAGTTCGTGAATAGACTTAGAGTATAGAGTTAGTTAGATAAGTTAACTAGTTAGTTACCGTAAACTAGTAAGTTCACTAACTAGTTAGTTAGCTAACTAGCGAGTTAGTATTAACTAGTAGGTTGGTTAGCTAGTTAATAGATATAGACTTAGGGAGTTAAGGAGGAGATTATATAATCGATATTTACGTTTATAAGATTAGATATTTACCTACGCGTTATTAATAGAAGCCTTACGCGTATATATACGCTAGAGCCTAAGGATTGTTTGCCTTTCGGTTTACTTCTGTAGAGGAACCTTCTATCCGGGACTTTCTATAAGGATTCTGCCGCCTTACTGTGGCCCCGCCCACGATAGGTATTTAAGGCAGTACTTCACCTTCCTTATTTCTTCCTTTCCTTTTTCCCCTTCGTCTTGGTTTTCTTCGTTGCATAGGACACAGTTGCTTCACCTTCCTTCTTCCATGCGTAGGTTATCGTAGCTATACTGCCTGGGAGTCACAGGTCCGGTATGACGATTACGTTAGTTTAGAGGATATATTCTGGAGTATATTCAGAGTTGAAGCTGGCGGGTTGGGTAATGATATAATTAGAGCCATCAAAGCAGCAAGAATTGTAGGACTACTGCTATCTCGAGGCTTCATAAGTCGTCTTGCGAATATGCCAGAGCCAGTACCTATTTGGGATGATGAAAGTGGAGTATATAACATGCCTGATCTGGATGGGCTGTTAATAAATCTAGCTATAAGGTTTACGGAGTTAGTATAGACGATGGGTACTGAAATACAATGGGAAAAAATCGGATAGAAGATTCCATAACGAAAGGGCCAATGCTAGAACAAATCAAATGACCCCAACCACAGCAAGAGCGGCCTTCAGATCGTCGACACTGTCCAATTTGGGAAGAGGCTTCCCTGCATTAAATAATTTGTGATTGCCTGAGGTCATAACCGCATGAGTTTCGTTTGCAGAGCAAACACGCGGCCTACCACCTCTCACCTCGAACTTCCAGACAGCGATACTGGTCGGTACAGTGTTCTTGACAAACGTCGATTCCAGCATGACGATTCCTTTCATGGTCGAAAATGAGTTCCGACATGGTACCATCACTACACCCAAGAACTTGAAGACCAATAAGACTTGTAAGATTCTTCTTGATAATGTAGTTAATGAACTCATCGAGAAATCCCGGGCCAGTATTAAACATGTCAGGAAGAGGACCGTCATGAAGCTTATAAGCGCACAGCCCGTCCTTAGTTAGGACGAAGTTATGTCTATGGAGACGGGAGGGATCAATCTTGTCAATATCGGTAACTTGAGTCTAGCGAAGCGAAGGTCTTTCGAAGTTGGACCCAAGTATGACGGTATTCTTGGGAATCTTGAAGTGGCCGTGGATCAAATGAATTCCGAGAAACTTGTCGGCGTTGTGACGGACGAATGTTTCCGCCAAGTCTGTAATATGTGATGAGATACGGCTACGGTAGGGGCAGCAGTATCGACGTTTGAGAGGGATAAGAATATGAGATTACTGAGGGGGAGAGATTCTACCTAAGCTATAGACTATAGTGAGTGGCAGAATTATATACTATACAAATAGTAGGTCCCTCTATGGTGAGTCGGTAGATCCCTCGGAAGATCCCTCGATAGTAGATTCCTCGAGGGTAAGCCTGTAAGGTGAGGTAGAATTATCTAAACACTAAGATGGCTTATATAAATAGTATCAAGATCGAGGCGCTAATTCCTCTACGAAGGAGGACTATTAACTTAGGAAGCTCTTAATTTGATCATCTATCGGGACTCGGGCCTCTCGGGCGTAAAAAAATAGCTAGAGATGGTTGAAGAAGGTATAGAGATCTAGCTGTATGATTAGTAGATAGGATCACCTACCACGCGCGTGCTAAGGAGTTCAGAGGGATATAGTGGCTGTACAGAGGTTAGCTATAAGGCTTATCGATTTCCTAATCGTTAAATATAAATAATTGGGAATTATAGTTGTAAAAATTGACTTAAAAGTTGACGCGTTGATGTAGCTGTATCGCCCGCTTGGATGTATCGCCCACTCGATTAATACGTTACCTAGATACCCACACTGCAGAGCTTATATCAATCCGCTATTTTCAAACAACTTGCCCTCGGAGTTCGACACGTGTCGATTGGTCAGATAAGGTATACTAATACCCAGTAATTATCTTACCAAATTGATTAAAACATAAGCCCACTACAGCTTAAAGCTATGACAACTTCTGTTTCATTCCTGATTTACGAATTTAGCCAATTTCAACCATGCTTCACCGGATCACACCTGTCCTTGCGGTGATATCTGGGCCGTGCGGCCGTAGAGACAAACGCCCTCGGTCTCGATGACCATATTCAACATTGAAAAGTGGAGAGAAAAGCAGTATATCACGAGGAAACAGCGGCATTTTGCGATTAGTTTCAGTGAGCGAAGCCATTCTATACGTCATAAATGGGATGGATGTCTGTTCACAAATCCCAATCATGTTCACAAATTTTAATCATGTCAAGACGCGACAAGGTGACATTACATTTGCATGATGGCGGATTTCATGACCACCCCAGAGTGGTTATTTTCAACTGCACCCACCTGAACAAACTTATGCCCATACCCCTCAGGAATGGCGAACTCTGTTTCAAAGCCTTGTTTTCGAGTAATCCCAACTGCTGTCATTGAGTTCTCGTCACTGCCCGTGTAAACCACAAAGTGCTTTACTTCGGTTGCACCATTCCAACTTATGTAGCCTCGGATTTCCGATGAGCCACATTCAATACCGTCTAGCCCTGAAGAAACGTTGCTTCCGCTGCCAACCTTTTTAATCTGAAGAGACGGCTTTGTTGAGGGGCTGGCTCTCCAGTTAGTTTTGTAGGTGCGATAACTAGCAGCGCCATTCTCGAAGTTGTACCGCGCTGACCAGCGAACATCACGGCCTTGGGGATCTTGCGGCCCAAACTCTTTCATCACAGGTTGGATGCCGTAGCCAAGGAAATGGTTGTCGTTTGACAGGATATCATGCGTTCCCATGGCCAAAGACGCAACGGGGTACAGTGGGTCTGAGAGATTCTTCAGTAGCTGAGGCGGGTGATCGGTGGCCGGGGGCACTGTCAACAAAAATTCGAGGCCGACTGACGGGTTGCTTGTGGTCGGATCCCCATTGTTATTTGCAAAGTACCTGAGCTGAAGTTGGGTGTGGGAGAGACGTGCGATTCGAGCATAATGTTGCCACGACTAAGGCCCGTGATCGTTAGTTTCGCGTCTATGACTGGAAACAGAAGATGACTTACAAATCGACCTCCCTCGGGCAGCCCGCCGAAGTCACCACCCGTCTCGCCATCAATTTGCCAGAGAATGTTGCCTTTTCTGTCAACGAGGTACGTCGTCCAGGTGTTACGACTATTCACAAGATAATTTCCCTCAAACAGTTGGATAGAGTTAGTGTGAAAAAAGTCGAAAGGGTTGCTGATATTCTCCCCTGCGCCCAAGAGGGGGAGTTTTGTGTCTGTTATTGGCACGTGTGCGAGGGGGCTCCAAGAAAAAAGAATTTCCGAAGTGGTGAGATCAATCTCAAACACAAGAGGATCCAGGACCCACCCTTCCTCAGGGCCACCGAGATCTTTCAGGTTCGCGCTGGTAATGTTGTAGGCTGTGACGAGAATTGTATTGTCTTCGGTGATAAAGGATTCGTGAACATCCGCCTGACAAGGTGCAGACTGTCCAGGTGGTAGAGTCAAGTTGAAACTTGGACAAACGGTGGCAATCTGGTCATATGATGAGTTTTGAATGACGATGTGACCGTAACCGTGGGATGCTGATGCAGAGCTCGAAGCACCACCGCTACCTGCCCAATAGGTGATCACCGGTTCCCCGTATAGTTCCTGCACGCGGAAATTTGAGGCATCCGGGGTGACGGGCCCCGACCAAATGAGATCGCCGGTGTCGGTCATGATGAACGGAGCTTGATCAGGGATGTAAGACCGGGGATTTATGCCCGTCTGTGGATCAAAAAAGATCAGGCCTGGCGCAAGCTGCTCGCCAGTCGCGTTGATTTCGAGATATGGTGGTTTTGCACTCGACGATGTATATTCCTGCCACGGCCAGACAGAGGACGAGTTCTGCGCAACGGTCACTGAGTTTCGAGAACAAAGTGTCGGAAGTTGTGGAGTCAATGGCACTGAATGACCCCCGGGGATGCTCAAGAGCCATTCGAGTGCCATCAATCCGAATTTGACATGGTCATAGATCCTCATAGCGGCGGTTGGAGCGCGAAATATTGAAAACTGCCACACAGCTTCATTAACAATGGTGACTCTGAGTAGCCAGGGTCATTTGGGATAAACGAGAGATTTTAAAGGAGATACCAGCCCATACTGGGGATTCGGAAAATCCGAGCATTCAAAACCTGCGTCCATTTCTCCAGCGGTAGTCAAGAACTGCCGAGCAAAAGTCAAAAGCCGTTCCCGGCTTTCCCCGCAAATTCAAAGCGTAGTGGAAGTCAATTCTTTCTCGCGGAAATCCCGCAATACCTTGGAGCGGATCGAAAGTAGTGAGAAATATCTCTAGAAGCACCAAAATTCCAAGAATAAGGCTAGAATATGTGGGGAATCTGTACCGAATTTGATCTTGAACCTCGGAAGTCTCCGCAACTCCCGCCATGCGAGCGCACGCGGCTGTCGCTTGATGCGGGGGAAGCTGCTCCCCGGACTTTCCCCGGAGCTACGATCCCTGGGTGGATCATAGACGTCTCCTCGAGGACTTCACGCGTGAGGCTACTGGCAACCTCCGGTATGACTATTTCGTATTCACCATCCATTGGGATTTCTTACTTTCTCTTTAGAAAGATTACCTCCATGTATTTGAGCTACTCATCTCTGACCCCGTTTTTCGACGAGGGTGTTTCGAGCAAGAATTCGCCTGAATGTCAGCAAGAAGCCGATGGTCTCACGGCCGTTCCGACATTTACCTGTATTATGCCTTATACCTAAAGTGGGAAAAGATATTATGGCAAGAGAGGGTGATGTGATGGGGGAACAGGCAAAAGTGAGAACCCCTACATGCTCTTGACTGGAATCAAATGCAGAAAAAGCATGAGGATGTTACGGCTCACCCGTAAGTTACCACCTAACTTACTTAGCTTGGTACCTGCGGGGCTTAGCCACCTGCGTTGAAGGCATATCTGTGGCCTACGTAATCTTAGTACTTCGACCCACCTTTACGTCCCCCCCGGCTTTGCTGGGTAGAACGTCGCTGACTTGTACACAGCTTCTTCGTCAATAAGTTCCTGTTGAGGAGTTGGTGGCCCCGAGTTGGACGGTAACTTCCAAAGTGACTTTTCTGGAGAATAGTGACACAGTACGCTTCGATGTCAAGATTACTTGCCGAAGAGGTAACATTGAACCATGAAAGCAATATTGTAATGCTCTGAAGATATCAATCACCATGGAGTGAGGAAGCTACCTAGGTTCGACGTTCCCTAAATAGCCGCCAGGAGGCTGGAGAAGTATAATGAAGCGCCGAGGGTCACGTGACTCCCTTGCTCACTGCTCTATCTAGCACCCCCTCTCCAAATCATCAAAACCCGGTCATGGTCCGTGGATGGAGATTTTGCAACACCATCTTGCGGAATAGAGACATGAACATCTACCAGATGCTCCAATGTAGGCAGAATGTTAGCAAAGAGAATCCACAAAGAGTTCCTCAGTGTACAGTACCATACTCAGTATGTGGTCTCTCATGCTCGGCTAAGGCCAGGTCACTTGCAATGATCAACTCGTTGATGTGCTGTCACATCTGGGCGCGGCTGATGCTCGATTACGCGGCTTGAAGGGAGATTATCTTTCGTGAATCCAAACATCATCCCTTGGGTTCTAAACGGGCTCTAATCTATTCTTTTTGGCATGTGATCATGTGTAATGCGCTCGCACCAAAGAATCCACAAAAAGTATGTGTACTAAGTTTATAAGGTTAAAAAATATTCAAAATTCCTCCAGTACATGTAGTAAAAGTAAGCGGCAGCAGGATACTAGAATGTTGCGGATAGGATAAAAGTCGAGAGATCTTGACA